AAAAAAAAAAAAAAAGTTAATCAAATATTAATTCGTTATAGCAATCGATTGATTATTGCGGCTAATTTCTCAATTATATGATAAGAACAATATAAAACGTTTATCCGTGAAAATATGGTGAAAATATCAGCGTGTAACAGCTGACGGTTCTCTACGGCGCATTATCACGGGCCAGAGAAGTTTGGGCGTGGCAGCCGAAAGCAACGTGGCCAGGAGAACGCGAACGCAGCCTCCAAACCCACAATTCTCCGGCCAACTTTCAGTTCGAATCCTTCTTTTGACTTGCGGAGTAACCGGCGAGAGAAAAAAAAACGGAAAAAAAAAAAAAAAAAAAAAAGAAACAAAAAAAAAAAAAATAAGGAGGGAAAAAAAAAAAAACGGAAAAAAAAAAAAAAACACGTTGAAACGAGCGAATACGTTGAATATAATTCGGTAACAAGTGATGGAAAACGGCGAGAGTGTGCATGAAGGATCAAGCAGATCCAGGATGGAGCAACTGGCACTGCAGGTCCTCGTCGAGGACAAGCAGGAAGTCTCGAGAGGGACACTTCCGTCCGCGATGGCCTCGATCACAATGGTGCGTGAGAGGGATAAAGGGGTGTTAGATAGTGTGCCAAATGAACGTTTTCAAAGAATTCAAAGTCTTTATCGCTTCCTATGTTTCATTCTATTTCCGTTCCGTCTTTTTCTGGGTGCCATCTTTTATTTAGCCGTTTCGCTCGTGAAATTATTTCATTTCAGTTTGTATTAAGGAAACGAAAAAGAAAATTAATATATATATATATATATATATATATAAATATGCATACAGCGAAAGAAGAAAATGAGGGAAACAATAATTAAATGTATCGTAGAACTAACAATGTTCTTCTCTTTCAGATATTTTCCAATCCAAATTCTCAACCGAATAACGCGATATCAAAGATTGACCGAGGGTTGCGAGCCTAGTAGGAGGATGATAGAGCAGAATGTATATGTGAAAGAAGGATAGAGAAAAGCAGCGTGTGGGAGAAAGAGACTAGGTCTAGTTGGGGAAGCTCGTATTGATCGTTTCTGGGTCCATGTGACGCGCCTGCGTTTTGCCGTGGGGTAGAATCGTAGCGAGGGTAAACTGTGGGGAGGAGGGTGGGAAAGAGTGA